GGCACTTATCTTGCTCACATTTGATCAGGTCTGGCCTCTAGTACCACGTATGGTCCCCCAAGCACTTCTGGGGGTGATCCCTGGGCACTGCTGGCTGTGGCCCAAAAAACAAAAACAAAACACAGGGCCAGAGATATAGTACCATAAAGAACTTGCCTTGTACACAGGCCACCAATTTGATCCCCGATATTCTATATGGCTCCCCTGAGCACTGCCAAAAGTGGCTCCTGCAAATAAAACTAAACGAAACAAAACACCCAAAGCAAGTGAACCACCTTTTTGGGGCATGGTTTTGGCTTTTTATTCCAAGTTCAAGAGCTTGGAATGAGGATCATATTAACAAAGTTCCCTAAAAGTTCCTGAATGACTTCTGATGTGGGGGAGGGTACATGATAGTTTAGAAACTTAGGGGCAAAAATAGGATGGGATGGCTTTTTATGAAAGTGTTGGTCCAGTCTTTAAAAATAAAAGTTATTTAGATCTTGTGATTGCTTAAGTGCATAGAAATTGTGCCGTGTTCCCAAGACTGTACGCATATTTAAATTGTATTGCATATTTAAATTGTATGCTGAAGATTTAGGAAAAGGACGATGATTACTTTTCCTACAGGACTCTCTTCCACTTCAAGTTCCTTTCTGGCATTTGGGTCAAAGTTTTATTAAAAGTTACATTTTATAACACGAGCACAAGCCCAAACAAAAAAGTCATTTTAAGCATGTTTCCACAGTATTGTTTTCCCCCACCTTAAATGAAGTTCCTTGCTTTAGTTTTTTGAAAATAGTGTTTATTATTGTCAAGACTGGTTGAAAGCCAGTTTACTGACAACCTGTTAAAAGTTATTCTTTGACTTTTAACTAGAAAAAAAATCATAAACTGAGATGTGATATTCCTTTTCTGGAAAAGTGATTTAATATGCCTCATAAACTCTAGTAAAGTCAGCTTTTAAATATTAAAAAAAACACAAAAGGAATTTATGAATGATTACTTCAATAAGGCCTGACATTATTTCATAAGAATTTGGGATCCTTGGTTTTTTTTTTTTTTTTTTGGTTATACCTGGAGGTTCTCAGGGCTTACCCCTGACTTTGAACACAGGAATCACTCCTGGCAGGCTCGGAAGACTGTATGGGGTATCAAATTCGGATTAGCCAAGTACAAGAGTTCTTGAACCTAAGGGCAAGACAAGTTCACTACTGGTTGTACTCTGGTCACAGTTTATATAAATATATATATATGTACATACATATGTACATATATATATTTGTGTGTATATGCGTTTGTGTGTGTGTATCTGTATGCACACACAGTTTTTTTTTTTGGTGGTGCCAGGGATGAAATCCAAGGTCTCATATATATATAAGTACTCTGAGTACTACCACTGAATCTACATCCCTGGCCCTAAACCTTAGCTTTTCTGTTCTTGTTTGATCGTGTTTGTTTTTGGGCCATGCGTGGTGATGCTCATGGTTTACTCCGGCCTCTTCACTCAGGAATCCCTCCTGGCAGAGCTAAGGTGGGGTGCTGAGGATTGAACTGGGGTTGGCTGGTACAAGGCAGTTGCCCTACTTACTGTACTATCTTCAGCCCCAACAGTTTGTATAATGTTAAAGTATGTAATAGAGCCACTTTGTTACAAAACAGTATAATACAAAATTTAGATGCTTTAATGTTTAATAGGCAAAGAAGGTCATAAGACGGTTGTTTTACTAGGTTCTTTTCTGTCTTTAAAGCAGCTCTTTTCTGGGGCTGGAGCGATGGTACAGCGGGTAGGGTGTTTGCCTTAAAAATGGCCAACCCGGGTTCGAGCCCTGGCAGCACCACCAGGAGTGATCCCAGGAGTGCAGAGCCAGGAGTCAGCACTGAGCATCACCAGGTGTGACTCGCAAAACCAAACCAAACCAAGCCAGGTCTCTTCTAGTCCTCCTATCCTTTATGCTAATTCAAATACAAACCAGAAGCCCTCAAAGTGTGGCCACAGGTGCTTGGTTTGTCGCCTAGATACTTTTTGAAGGTCTGGGGTTAAAAATTATTTTCACATCAAGACTAAGATGTTATTCGTCCTTTTATTGTCTTCACTTGTGCTGACGAAGTGCAAAAGTCATGGTAGACAAATTTGCTGGTGCTTTTGCACAAATAATTGCCGAGGCAACAAACCTTACCAGTAGCCCTTGTCTTCAATGTACATGCTTGTGGTTTTAAGAAAAAAATCCAATTTTACCTAAGAACCCCTTATGGTGGGGCCAAAGAGAGAGCTCGCTGAATGTGTGTTTGCATGTATGTAGTATGGGTTTAATTCCTGGCCCTGTATTATCCCGAAGCACCATCAGGTGGGACTCCCAAGCACATGGCTGGAAGTAGGCCCTGAGTACTTCTGGGTTTGGGTGCAAGACCAAGAAGCCAAACCCAACTAAAAACAATGCCCATGATGAAGCAGTATAATTTATTAGATTGGTGCATTATGTTGTAGCTGGGGTTACAATGGCCAGTATGACAGACACTATCTCTGCTTTCCTATAGCTTAACGTTTGAGGAAGAAAGTCAACTAACCAAGCACTGTCAAAAGAAAATTTCAAAATTTTCTGTAAGGAAGCACAGATTGTTGTTACACAGAACCAGCATAAGTATTCTAACTGGTGTTATTTAAACTGACGGAGGATGGGTAGGAGTTTAGTCACATGATATCTGAAAGTGTGGAGGTGGATTCAGGAGGGTACAAATTTTGTCCTATAGAAAGGAAAAATATGTGAAGACTGAAAGGTGAGAGTATGGCATATTAAAGCTACACAAAAATCTGTACTATATATGGAGATGCATAAGAAATGAAGCAGTAAGGCCACAGATATATATATATATATATATATATATATTTTGCTTTTGCTTTTTGGGTCACACCTGGCGATGCACAGGAGTTACTCCTGATTCATGCACTCAGGAATTACTCCTGGCGGTGCTCGAGGGACCATATGGGATGTTGGGAATCGAACCTAGGTAGGCTGCGTGCAAGGCAAATGCCCTACCCGCTGTGCTATTGCTCCAGCCCCGAGATTCTTTATTTTGTTTTGTTGGGCCACACCTGATAGTGCTCAGGGCTTACTCCTGTCTCTGAACTAAGGGATCACTCCTGGAAGTGCTCAGGGTACCATACCTGGTGTCCAGGATCGAACCCTGTTGACAGTTTGAAAGGCAAGTGCCCTGCCCACTGTACTTGTCACTCTGACCCTCAAATTCTGGATTCCAGACAAAACAATTTAAGAAATAAGTGGAGAGGGATGGAAAAGAAGGAACATAGTTAATGAGAGAAAAATTTGACCAGCAATGAGGATGAAAAGACACGGGTTGATTTAAGATTGTTATACATGGCAAGGGAGTAGGCGTTAAAGATCATCACTGGCTTTCTGGTCTGGACAGCTGAATGAAGGCACTGGAAATGCAATTTTGAACAAACAGGGGTACACCCACACAAACCACATGGTCCCCTGAGAACTGGACAGGACTAATCCCAGAGCAGCGTCAATAGGTGTCCCCAAAACATACATTCCCCAAAGCTCTAATGAATTTTAAGAAACTATTTCCTTAGAATTGTGAAAAATAAATAGGCCAAGGTAAAAACTAGTATTTCTTAAACATTAAATATTTCTTGGAAGACTTCTCCAGGCCCTGTTCTCATATTCGCTGTGCAATCTCAGCTACCCCAGGAACTAAATTCCCAACCATGGCTGGTGACTCCCTAATCTGCATTTGCAGCCTAAACTCACCTGTGAGTTCCAAGCCAGTACCTAGAGTTACCTATCAAGTCCTCTTGGTGGAACTTGGATCTTCTGCATGTAGAATATGTGCTCCAGCTCACTGAGTGCTCTCCTTCGGCACAGCACTAAGATTTTCCTTTTTCTTTTAGCTTTTTGGGGTCACACCCGGCGATGCACAGGGGTTACCCCTGGCTCTGCACTCAGGAATCACGCCTGGTGGTGCTCGGGGGACTCTATGGGATGCTGGGAATCAACCTGGGTCCGCCGCGTGCAAGGCAAACGCCCTCCCCGCTGTGCGATCGCTCCAGCCCCCAAGCACTAAGGTTTTTGAGAAATAGAGTTTTTGTCGTACTTTTGTTTTTTGACAAAAGCTGGGGTGGGAGGACACGTGGTGAGAGAACAAAGTGGACGCAGCCGGGGTTTACTCGGCGACTGTCAACTGTCGGAAAAACAAGGTCACGCACCACTGCCCCTACGTGGCCCGGCCGAGAGCAATTTCTGGAGGTTGGCGCGGGGCCAGCCCGCGGGGGTGGGGGCTAGGGGCAACCCAAACTTGTTGCCATGGAGATGGAGCGGCTCTAAAGTGGATTTTTTCGAAAAAAGTCGAGATCACGATCAGGCTAGTTGCTCGGCGTAAGACGTCGGGGCAGACGGGCACCCGAACCGCACGGCCAGGTGGGAGGGCTGCGGTTGGGGCCCGGCCTATTTTTTCCAGTCCATTTAGACACAAAGGGGAACTGCAACCTCCCGGCCGGAAGCACAACCTGTGACCCCACGGCGCATTACACATGCCTCCGCGCCGGAAGAGCACTTTTCTCTTGGGCCGCGACGGCTCCCTCCCCGCCTCCGCCTCGTCGTCGGTCTCCAGGAGGAGAAGGCGCGGGGCCGCCGGGGGTGCCGCCCGCAGGGCGCGGAAGCCTTAGCGGCCGAGGGGGCCGGGGACACCCGGGGGTCGGGGGCCAGGCGGCCGGAAGGAGGTCGCGCGCGGAGGGATCCGGCCGGGCCCGGCGGAGGGATCCGGCCGCGCGCTCACTTCCGGCCAGGTCCTGGGCTCGGGAGGAAAAGCCCCGCAGGAAACAATAACAAACGCGAGGCGGCGGCGGCGGCGACTGCGATTGCGACGACGACGGCGGCGGCGGCGGCGGCGACCCGGGGGCGTCGGCCGGCGAGGATGCGCGGCGGCCCCCGCCGGCGGCCGTGAGCGGCCCGGGGGCGGGGGCGGGGGCGTCGGGCGGCCTTGGTCCACCTGCTCGCCCGCGGCCCGGCCATGGCGGGCGCGGGGCCGGGGGTCTACGCGGCCGAGTTCGTGCCGCCGCCCGAGTGCCCGGTCTTCGAGCCCAGCTGGGAGGAGTTCACCGACCCGCTGAGCTTCATCGGCCGCATCCGCCCGCTGGCCGAGAAGACGGGCATCTGCAAGATCCGCCCGCCCAAGGTAGCGCGCGGGGCCGGCCCGGGGGCGCGGGGGGCGCGGGGGCCGGGCCGACCCCGCCCGAGGCTCGCTCGCCGCGCTCGCCCCGCCTCCCGCGAGTCCGCGGGGCGGGGCGGGGCGGGGGCCCACCGGGACCCCCCAGCGACCCCTCCCCCGGCCTGCGCCTCCCGGCCCGGCCCGTCGGGGCCGAGTGGCCGGACCCCCCAGCCGTCCGTCGCGGCGAGTCGCGGCGTGTCCTCCGCGTTAGTCGCCCGCCGCGGCCCCGGAGGCGACGTGGGGGTGCGGGGGCGGCCCGCGGGGCCGGGGGAGTCGGTTCGTTCAAGGTCGCGGGAGGCTCCACCCGTCCGAGGCGTGCTCCCCGGAGGAGGTTCCCCCGGGCCTGCAGCGGCCCCGGGGCCCGCCAGGTGCTATTATTAAAAAACAAAACAAAACAAAAAAGGAAGCGCAGGTTCCTCGGCGCCCCCAGTGCCAGACGGAATCGCCGTCGGGGCGCGGAAGGTCCAGACCCTGCGTTCTCCCGGGCCGCGGTCCTTTCCGCGCCGTCGGGCTCGCGGCGGGGCCACCGTTCGCTCCTCGGAGCCCTAGGAAGGAAGCCAGGACCGCCGCGATCCCGGCTGCGGGTTCAGAGGGCGCCCGCTCTCCGCAGAGGGTCAGCCCCGCTTTAGGCGAAGAACTCCGAGGGGCGCAGGAGGGGCGGAATTCGCACCTACAGATGGATTTGGTGTTTCCGAAGCCGGAGTTGCTTCCTCAAGTCTCGTTTTCTAGCTGAGCAGGGCTATGGGAAGTGAATACTGATGTATACGACCTCTGGCAAGTGAGAAAGTTGATTTTTATTTATTTATTTATTTATTTTTTGGTTTTTGGATCACACCCAGCGACGCTCAGGGGTTCCTCCTGGCTCTGCTGCGCTCAGGAACCACCCCGGGCGGTGCTCAGGGGACCATATGGGATGCTGGGAATCGAACCCGGGTTGGCCGCGTGCCTGCTATTGCTCCAGCCCCTAAAGTTGATTTTTAACCTGATTTATTTGATCCTAAAGCCCAGCTATACCACACCCATTATGCGGATTGAGTTTGATAAAATGATCTCTTGCAAGACTGCAGATGAGTGATAAAGGATGTTGCCAATGCTCCAGAAGCTTTACTTAGAACCTTAACTTTTTCCTACACTGTGTTTTCATCTCTATTGGTTGTGGGAATTTGAAAAGCCAGTCAATGTTTCTTTTTGCATTATATATATGAGAAAAGAGAAGACTGTCTGTTCCCTTTGTAACATTGCTGTAGGTCACATTTACGAGAAAAATTTCTATCAACGTTGATAAGTTTTTTTTAGATTCCAAGGTAAGATAAAGTGTTTTGAGTATTCAACATTTTTTAAGTAGACTTGCCATTATTTAAACCAATTCAAAGTACTTTCATTGAATCCCTATTTGAAATTTGCAATTTTCTTCTTTTTTACACCCAAGTTGCAGTCAGAAGATTTTCCTTGTTGTGGGTTTGCTTAATTTTTATTTTTTAATATGGATGCCCTAGAAATTGGGTTTGAAGCAAAACATACGATGCGAACTACAGTGTTGTATCATATTGCATATGAATGAAAAACCATACTGTTTATATGTACCTGAAAAATGCTTTTATAAAGGGCTGGAGAGATACTCCAGGATGAAGGTACTTGCCTTGCACACTGCCAGCCCAGGTTTCACCCCCGACACCCCATACAGTGTCCTGAGCACTGATGGATGTGGCCCAAAAGAACAACCCCCCAAAAAAATTTTGTATGACTAGAGAGTTAGTGCGGGGTTAAGGCACTTGCCTTAGCATGTCACAGTGGTTCAGTCCTTGCACTGCATATGGTCTCCTGAGCACTGGAATGAGTGACTTCCGAGCACACAACTCGGTGTTACCCCAAAACACAAAAGACAGGACAGCGTGCCAAATAAACTTTCTTAATCTTTAATACACAGTTATGCACGGGGGGTTATGCTGTACTGGATTGCAAGGGCTCCTCTAGAATGTGAAGCGGCTTGTCCTCAGTCCCTTTTGCTATTCTCCAGCCCCTTAATTTCTTTCAAATTCTGTTTCTTTCTGAGTTGTTAAATTGGGTTGTGTTTTTTTTGGTATCATATTCTATTTAAAATTTTTTTTTAGTTAATGGGGAAGTATATGTGTATATATACACACACACACACACACACACACATGTGTATATATCTGTTTGTGGGTTATTTTGTGCTTTGTTTTTTGGGCCAAACCCAGCAATTCTCAGGGGTTACTAATGCCTGGCTTTTCACTCAGGAGTCATTCCTGGTGGCGATTGGGGACCAGATGTGGTACTGGGGATTGAATACTGGTCAGCAGCCTGCAAGGCTAGAGCCTTACTGTACGCTTTCTGTCCCCAAGGGAAAGCATATTTTGCATATTAACAGTGGGGTTTGGTGATATTTGAAGGAATATTAGAGATAAGTAATTGGAGAGTAGTATTAAAATAATTTTATCTAAATATTTGTTTCCATAATAAAGACATAAGTTGATCTGTTATATATTGTGATGACTCAATTCTGAAATTAAGGGAGTGAATGTTTTCCTTGCTTATATACCAATACATCAAACTTACTTTTTTTTTTCTATTTAGGATTGGCAGCCTCCGTTTGCCTGTGAAATAAAAAGTTTCCGTTTCACTCCTCGGGTACAGCGCCTGAATGAACTTGAGGTGAGTGTTGTCAGAACACTTCTTTCCGCTGGCTCGTAATGTTTTGGGGGGAGACCCACACTCAGTGGTGCTTAGGTGCTATTCCTGGCTCAGTGCACAGGGATTACTCCTGGTGGTACTTAGAAGACCACAGAGCCATATAGTGCTGAAGATCGTACCAGGTCTCTTGCCTGCAAAGCATGCACTCTTCCCAGTGAACTCCCTCCCAGGCCTTCCTGATTTTATTCGTGTGTCGGAGAAGCTTACTTACCAGGACTTGGACCTAGTGCTAATTGGAATTGAATTAAAGGAAGTGGTTGGTTTAAAACGAATTGGGGGTGGAGGGAGAACGATAGTAGAAGAGACAATGCACCTGCCTGACATGTAGCTGGCCCAGGTTCGATCTCTACTACCATTTATGGTCCCCTGAGTACTGTCAGTGGTCCCTGAGCTCTGGGTGAGGCTCCAAACCCCCACAGCTCTCCTAAAACTTAGTGATTTGATTTCTGAACTGGAGCAGGGAGTACACTGAGTCCTGACCACCAGGGAATGCCTGATTCTTTTCGAGGGTGTGCTCGGCAGGAATTAGGGTTTGCTCCTGTATCTGCTCAAGGATTGACTACAAGCAGGGCAGGCATCTTAACCTCTTCACTGACTCACCAGCCTCTTTTTTTTTTCCAGTGAAGCAAAAAACAGTTTTCATTGAAAGAAATTTAGGAACTCTTAGGGGACAGAAAGTATGTTAAGAGAGAACACGAGCTTCTCTAGAGGGTAAAAGACCCAAAGGTCTTATTCTCTAAATTGCATTGTTTAATATTGTTCTTTTGACATTTGTGTTTTCAGATTATTCTTTAGTAGGGACTTTCAAAAAAGATAAAATGTGGGGCCAGAAAGATAGTGCACTTTCCTTGGACTCAGATGACCTGGGTTTGATTTCCGGCACCACATAATGTCCCCTGAGTTCTTCTGGGAGTGATCCCTGAGCATGACTGGGTATGTCCTGTCACTGTCACTGTCCTCCCGTTGTTCACTGATTTGCTCGAGCGGGCCCAGTAACGTCTTCATAGTGACACTTGTTACTGTGTTTGGCATATCGAATCTGTCCCGGGGAGCTTGCCAGGCTCTGCCGTGCGGGCGAGATACTCGGTAGCTTGCCGGGCTCTCCGAGAGGGGCGGAGGAATCGAACTCGGGTTGGCCAGGTCGGCCGCTTGCAAGGCAAATGCCCTACCTGCTGTGCTATCGCTCCAGTCCGGGTATGTCCTAAAGAACAAAAAATGAAATGGGGTATGAGTGCTAGGAGTTTGATGCTGAACTTTTCTTCCTTATTAATATATTATGTATTTTCTAAGGGCTGAAGAGGGAATATTGTGAAAAGAGGTTTCCCTTGTACTTGTCTGACCTGGGTTCTATGCCACCACCACCAGCAGGTGACCACCTGAGTTCCCCTGTGGTCCCTGAGCCCGGCTGGGTGCGGCAAAAAGGAAAACAATTTCTGAGATTTTAATACATTTCTCCCTTCAGTTTTTTGGGGTGGTGGTGGGAGCACTTAGGGCCTTATCCAGTGGTGTGTTCAGGGACTGCTTTGTGTTCAGAGTTCGCTCCCTGTGGAGGGGCCATAAAATGCTGGGGATGGAGTCAGTGTCGCCACATGTAGTGCAAGTGCCATAGCCCCTATATTACCTTTATGGATTCACCTTTTAGTTTCTTTGAATTCGATCCATATACTAGATGAAAGATGATAACATAGGTGAGGTTTAACAGAAATTAACATGTTATCTACAGATGAAATGACTGACTTAGAATGCTTAGAGAAGAACCAGAACTACATCTTACGGTTAGCTTAAAATTCATTTCTTACTTTTTTTGCCACTTGTGGTTCTCGGGGGCTGCTCTGGGTATTTCAGGGACCACGTAATGTTTCGAATCCAGTGCTCCTGCGTGTGAACCATGCGCTTCAGTTCTTAAACTATCTCTACCATCTCTACCACAAGACTTAAAGAAGTTGTCTTTATTTTGGGGGGTGTGGGGTAGGGGGAGGGGTTGGGTTTGGGGGCCATACCCAGTCCTGGCAGTGCTCTAGGGACCATAGGGGATTCCAGAGGTTGAACCCGTTTCGGCCCTATGTAGGCAAGCACCCTACCATCTATACTGTTGTTCTAGCCCCAAAATTAGGTCATTTTTTTAAATGAAATATTGCTTTGGTTGGTAATACAAGCTCCCTTAGATACATTAGTGTAACCTATTGCCTTAATAAATAGTTTATTTAGCATTATTTTGCCTTTTATTATTGGTGTATTTTACAGAGTTGTACTTAGCAATAGCACAGTGGTAGGGCGTTTGCCTTGCACGCAGCCAACATGGCCGACCCGAGTTCGATTCCTCCGCTCCTCTCGGAGAGCCCGGCAAGCTACCGAGAGGATCTCGCCCGCACGGCAGAGCCTGGCAAGCTCCCCGTGACGTATTCGATATGCCAGACACAGTAACAACAAAGTCTCCAATGGAGACGTTACTGGGCCCGCTCTAGCAAATCAATGAACAACGGGAGGACAGTGACAGTGACCGTTCTTAGCAATAATGAAATGGCTGAATTTCTTTTGAGAAACACAATTAACACAAGAATCTTTTCTTTTGGTTTTTGGGCCACATCTAATGCTTAGAGCTTGCTTGTGGCTCTGCATTCAGAGATCACTCCTGGTGGGACATAGGGCGCCATAAGTGGTGCTGGGGATTGGACCAAACCTGGGTCAGCTGTGTGCAAGGCAGGTGCTCTGCCTGCTGTACTCTCTGTTCCAGAGAAACAATTTTTTGTTTGTTTTGGGGCCCTACCCGGCAGTACACACCCGACAAAGTTCAGGGGTTACTCCTGGCTCTGCATTCCGGAATTACTCCTGGTGATGCTGAGTGATCCACATGGGTGTATCCACATGGGATGCTGGGGATCAAATCTGGGTAGACCTTGTGCAGGGTATGCTCCTTACCAGCTGTACCAGCTGTACTATTGTTATGACCCTGAAACAGCTACCATTGTTACACAAAATTCATTTATTTTTAACTTTGATTCTGTATGTAAAACCCTCAGGCAATGACCAGAGTGAGACTGGACTTCTTAGATCAACTAGCAAAATTTTGGGAACTCCAGGGTTCTACATTGAAGATTCCTGTGGTGGAGAGAAAGATCCTGGATCTGTATTCTTTGAGCAAGGTGAGGCTGGCTTGTTTTCAGTTTTTAGTTATTGGTGCAGTGTGATTTTATGAAGTTGAAAAAAATTTAAATGATTGAAAATGTTACTTTATATGTAGAATTTAAAGCTTGAACGAATGGAAATGACAGGTTTCAAGGTTATCATTTTCTTGTTTTTTTTTTTTGTTAATATGGGAAGCCAGCATTATTCAGTAAAATGAATAAAAAGGGACATTATCTCGAAAAGTAAAGGATTAGGGTGAGGGATATAGCTTAGTGGTAGAGCACTTACACGTGAGGTTATGGATTCAATCTCTGGCACTGCAGGGGAAAAAACTTTTTTTTTTTAAATGCCACACCCAGCAGTGCTCTGGGCTTAATCCTGACTGCACTCAGGGATCATATGGGGTAGACTTGGGGGACCATATGGGGTGCCAGGGATCGAAAGGGATTGAACCTGGTTTGCCTGCGTGCATGTGCTCTGCCTGCTGCACTATGGTGCTGACCCCCCAGTAAACTCTTAAAAAGCTTACTTTTATCGACTGAGGTACGGTGATTTACGGCCCTGTGAAGGATGGTTTCATGTGTACCTAAATCCAACCCCATACTCACTCATACCAATGTGCTCAACCTCCCTCCCGCAAGATCTTTGATGACCCTTGTTCTTAAAACCACTCCTTTTCAAAATTTAGTTCTATGGATCAGTCTCTCAATGTGTTGCCTTTGGTGCTGTGTTGCTATTTTGCTGTATATCTTTATATCCCATCTACGAGAGAGATCATTCTGTGTCTATTCCTTTCTGACTGAGTTCCCTCAGCTTAATTAATACCCTCTACTTCATCTGTGTCATGGCACATTGCATGATTTTGTCCTTTCTCAGAGCTGCGTAATACTTCCTTAGGCAGCACATTTTTGAAGAGGGGGGTAGGTGGGGAGTTGTATTTTGTTTTTGACCATACCTGGAGGTGCTCAGGCCTTACATCTCAGCTCAGGGATCACTCCTTGTGTTTGGGGGACGACATAAGGTGCTGGGGATTGAACTGCTAGCAAGTTCTGCTACATGTGAGACAGGCACCTTAACCCTATGCTGTTTTTCTGGCCTGAAAATTTTACTTTTTGGGCAGGAAAAATATTTACTTTATGGGCCAAAAAGTTAAAAATTTTTACTGTTCAAAAAATTTTACTTTTTGTGTCGGAAAGTGAAAAATTTGTATGCTGACCTTAAAGATTTTTTATTTTAAGGAAAAAATGAGGGACCAGGGAGATTGCTCAGAAGACTGAAGCATATACTTTTTCATACTAGGTCCCTACACTTCAGCTTTGATACTCCTAGGTGTGGTCTACAAACAAAAAGAGTCATTTTTTTTTTTTCTGACACATTTAAAAATTGTCAGGTCTGTTTTTTGGGACATAGTATATAGTCTTATGCTAAAGCCTCTATAGGCTTGGCTTATTTTGTTATTTTGTAATGATGTCCATAATCAAGCACTGTGCTAATTATCTATTGCAGTAGTACAGAAAGCTTATGTGATACCAAAGGGTAAATTTATCGTGAATTTGTGGGGTTGTTTTCTGTTAGGTGCATCAGGATAAAAATCTGTTTCAGGGCTGGGAAGATAACTCAAAGGATGAGGAAAGCATGCTTTGCATGTAGGAGACCAGACACTGCATGCATTTCATGTGTGAAGCTTGGGGATCTCTCTCTGGCATTGCAGAAAAAAAATTGTGAATCTTTTTAAAAAAAAAATTTTTTTTTAGATCCACGAGTTTGTGTGTCATCTTTGCACAGGGGCCATGCTAATCGTCTCTTTATTATTCAAATTTTAGTATATGTGCTGCCAAAGTGAGCATATTCCTTTGCTTTCCTTTATTTATCTTGATAAATAAAATGTTTTATTTGGAAAGTTTATAAGTAATGGAATATTATTTTATTTTAAAAATTTGGTACTGGAGATAAGGTATTTGGGTAGGGCTGACCCAGGCTCGATCCTCTACATCACATATGATTCTTCAACACTGCCGGGAATGACCCCTGAGCACTATTGGATATGACATAGAGGCTGGTGGGCAAATGCATGTTTTGCATACACCTTGTTTGTTCGAGTACTGTTGGGAGGAACTTTGGTAGTACCCACTGAATATAGCCAGGTGTGGTCCAAACTTCTTCCAGAAATAATAGTCTCAGGGCCAAGGTGTACCTTGTAAGTAAAGCAAGTGCAGAAGAATCAGGTTCAGTCTCCATCACCAATGAACACAAAAAACTAAAATCATTTTCTCTATTTTACTCTTAAGTACTAATTCTCAGGTTTCAGCGTGGTCAGTTATTTGTTGAGCAGAAGTTTGAAATACAAGTCCAGAATTAAATTTTTGTATTTGCTGGGCAAGATGAGGAGTCAGAATATATCGGTCCTCTCTTAAATATTTACTTTTCTTTTCAGATTGTTGCCAGCAAAGGAGGTTTTGAAATGGTCACCAAGGAGAAGAAATGGTCTAAAGTGGGAAGCCGCTTAGGATATCTGCCAGGAAAAGGAACTGGGTCTCTTTTGAAGTCACACTATGAAAAAATTCTCTACCCATATGAGCTTTTCCAATCTGGTGTCAGTCTTATGGTGAGATGCATTATTTTTCTTAGGAATGGCTCAATTTATTCTGCCATGTATAAATTTCAAACATTGTTCACCAAAACAGATTGGCATTTGGTTATGCATAGCAGTTTCTATTACTACAAAATATGGGGGAGCAAGGTATATACTTTAGAAAAGTCACACCTGATTTTGGTGACTTATAAGATGAAGGTTAATGGAAACGAAGGATGTTTTCTTATTTGATACAAATCCTTATAGGTCAAGGGATGTTATTCAGTGATAAAAGTCTGCTTTGTATGTATAAGACCTTGGGTTTGATCCCTGGTACCCAAAACAACACCTCCTCAAAACTCATAGCATTTAAATATTCATTATTTAAGTGTTTTTGAAAAATTAACTCTTCAGGTTTCGTGTATTTTAAAAGTAATTGCTGGGGCAGCTGGGACGGTGGAGGCTGCGGATGGTAATTTGGGCCATATCCGACAGTGCTCAGGGGCTATTTTGGCTCTGCTGGGTGTGGAGGTTACTCCTGGTGGTGCTCAGGGAACCATTTGTCATGCCAGGGATCAAACCAGGGTTGACCACATTCAAGGTAAGCAATCTAACCCCTGTACTGTCTCTACCGCCCCTTAAAATAAATTTATTGAGATATAATTGACATAATCTTTTTAGGTACACAGTAAGGTTAATTAATTGCACATTTATGCAGCAATCACCACATTTGAGTTTTCAAATACTTTCATCGGCCCCAAAATTTCCTTTGTGTTCACTTGTGGTTAGTTCTCATTGCTATCTATCTTCAGACATGGATAACTTAATGATCTGTGCTTTCTGGTTCTATAATTTTGCTTCTTACAGAAGTTTTATTTAGATGGAGTCCTTCAAAAATTTTGTGTCACCTTTGTTTAACCTAATGTTTTCAAGGCTTGTCCATGTTTTAGTATTTCTTTATTCTTTTTATCGTTGAATAATATTCCATTGTATGGATATGCCACGTTTGTTTATCCTTTTGCCAGTTGATGGACTGTTGGATTGTTTCCAGTTTTTGGCTTTTATGAATAATGCTGTGAATATTCATGTACAAGTCTGTGTGGACATATGTTTTCGTTTCTCTTGGGTAGATACCTAGGAGTGGAATTGCTGGGTTATATGGTAAGTTTATGTTTAACTTTTTAAGAAACTGCCAAACTGTTTTCTAAAGTGGCTGAACCATTTTACATTCCCACCAGTAATGTAGAGGCTTACAGTTTTCCCACATCTTTGCCAACACTTGATATTGTCAGTTTTTTTTTTTGCTTGTAGCCATTTTAGTGGGTGTGTAGTGGTATCTCATTGTGGTTTCAGTCATATCTTTTCATGTACATACTAGCCATTTGTATATCTTCCTTGATGATGTGTCTGTTCAAATTTTTTTAATTGAGTTGCCATCTTATAATTCACTGAAGAGTTTGCTAGATATCCTGGATGAAAGTCCTGTGTTAGATACATGATTTTACAGATATTTTCTCTTGTGATTTAGCTTTTCATTTTTTATGTTTATTTGAGAACTAATTTATTTTCTTTTCCCCTTCCTCCATCACTTACGGGTTGTGCTTCTATTGTGACATCTGAGAAGTCTTTTTCTAACCCATAGTCAGAAAGATTTTCTACTTTGTTTTAGTTTCCTATTTGGGACTGAGATTCATTTTGGGTTTTTTTTTTTTGTATGTGTGTGTGTAGTATAATTTTATTTTGGGAGTGAGATAAGATATAGGGTTCTGCTGTTGTACTAGTACCAATTACCTTTTCCCTGTTTTCCATCTTCATTGACAATCAGTTGACTATAAATATGTGGGTGTATATTCTGGTCTGTTCTTTGATCTTTATATGTGCGCTGGCACCAAGCTATGCTTTCTTGAGTACAGTAGAGTTGTGGTATCCATTATCCAAAGCTGTTAGTCCTCCAGATATTTTTTTTTAAAACAAGATTTTCCAACAATTTGCATTTTTGTTTAAAGTTTAGGATCAGCTTCTAAAATTCTACAAGAAAAGCCTGCTAAGATTTTGATAGGGATTTTTGAACATAGATTAATTTGATGGGAGAATTATTGTGATTTCATGTAGTTTTAGGGACTTACTGGACATTAATTATTTTTTTCCTGATTCTCAATTCTGATTATCAGTGAATCTGCTCTCTTTCTGTGCTCTGATTCTTTAGGGTGTACAAATGCCTAATTTAGATCTTAAGGAAAAAGTGGAGCCTGAGGTTCTTGGCACTGATGTCCAAACATCCCCAGAGCCTGGTACAAGAATGAACGTTCTGCCGAAGAGAACAAGACGTGTCAAGTCTCAGGTATCAATGTCCAGCTCCGTTTTTAACAGGAGTTTTAAGTGCATTGATGGTACTGAACAATGATGTAGTTGGAGCGGACCATTCACATACCTTTTGTCTTTAAAGCTTTGAAAACCGTTAGCCTTTTTATTAACCTTTGAGAGAATGGGAAACAATTGTGAAGTTCAGTCTGATTTAGTTTAGAAACCTCTTAATTTTGAGCAGTTTTTGACAGAAAAGACATATTAGAGGATAGTAGGATATTGTGGGGCCTGTTTGATAAATATACTGAGGAAACGGAATTGCATTTTATTTTATGCTTAGCAGAAGTGAGAGGAGTAGGAGAGTGGTTTTATTTTCTACTCAATCTGTTTTTTGAGGGGTGTGGGGATATTTTACATCACACCCGGCAATACTGAGATATTGCACCAAGGAAATGCTCCAGGTGATGCTTGGGAGACCATACCGGATACCAGGAGTTGAATTCCAGTTGGCTGCGTGCAAGGCAAATTTCCTATCCTCTGTACTACCACTCTGGCCCCTTTACTCAGTCCCTTTGAAACCAGAACATAGGTTTCTAAATAACTGAGCCATTCTAGCAAAGTTTTCATAGTGCTACTGCAATCTAAAATATTTCAAACCCCAATGAATGCATCGGAAGAAAAATGCCCGATTATTATTATTATTTTTTTTTTGTCTGTGCTTATCCGCTCTCCCTTCTTTTCATTTCTACTTTTTGGTGGTTCTCAAAAGTTGACATTTTAAAGGTTTTTGGTAAAAATAAGTCAGTAGACTGGACAGTAAGGTGTCTTAGAAATCAGAGATAATGGGTAGGTTTCTTAACCTAGTAGGAGAACCTATTAGAATATCTAGGATATGCTTTTCTCGTTCAGTGATGGCTCTTACTGTAATAGGATAAGCTTGCCTTTAGTCAGTCTGCCTTCTCTTTCAGTTATAATAAAGTTCTATTTCCAGCTTCCAAAATTAAAAGTCTTAGATGCCTGCTGTTGCCAGATCTGGTTCCCAGACATTCTTTAAAGATATTTGAAATGGAGAACATGAATATTTTAATCAAGCTGCGTACCATTATAGCAGTCCTTTTTTGTTGTTTACATAGTATATATAAATACTCCTCCAACCACTGCTGTCTGATGCTGGTTGAGGTCTGTTAGATTTTTGTTTTCTTCCTCACACATAGCAAGGTATCTGACTCAGAAGCAAAATTAAGAGTCAGGTTTATAGAGATTAATAACTAATTAATCTGTAGATTAACTAGTTATGTAGTTTATTTTTAGGGACCTTTTTTGTGTTTTGAAAAGAAAAAAACACAATATTTTTATCATTGCTTCATCAGCAGTGGAGGCAGGACAGGGAAAAGGATCAATAGCCATCCTTTACTGTGTTGAAATTGCTCAGATCAGAGTCAGATGAGAAGACGATCAGTTGGTGGAAATAGGCTTGCTATTTTACAATTTTTCCTTCTGATTATGTCTGAGTCCCGGAGTGGACAGGAAATAATTTTCTACTTTGGATAGTTGATAAAGGCTTTTGAGAGACTGTATTGTGTTTGTTGAATTCATGATAGCCTGCCTTATGGCACAAATTATTAAGCCTTTGTTTTCTAAAATAAATCGAAGATATTTGTAACTGCAAAAAAAAAAAGTCAGATCATCCTTTTAACATATATGTCTTTTTAGAGAGCATCTTAACTGACTCCTGATCATTAATTTTAGCATATGGAATGAGACAGTGTGTTATAAGAAGGGAAGGTTCACATTGGAAATGGGAGTCAGGGCAGTCAGCTCATTAGTAAGTTCATTTGAACAAGAGCACTGGATCTGTTTCTGTCGGGGGAGAAGCAGGCAAGTGACCCGTCACCTCAGGGGTTATCTTTTTTTCATTGCCATGTCTTCTTTCCTTGTTCTGAGTTTATCCTCACTGAATAATCTCCTGATTTAGAATAGCTTCTTTGGTATTTTAATAGCTGAGAGGTAGATGTTTTATACAGGAAATGTGAACTTATTTTTCGTTTTTAGGCTACGCCTGGCAATGCTCAGGGGTTACTCCTGGCTCTCCACTCAGGAGTCACTCCTGGAGGTACTCATGGGACCTTCTCGGATGCTGGGATAGAACCTGGTTGGCTCTGTGCAAAGCTTTATCCACTATGCTATCTCTCTGGCGTGCAGGATGAATATAATGGAGTTCATTGGAAAATGATGGCTCTATTTTAAATTAGTAAATTCTGATTTAGTCATTAAGTCAATCTGTTACTGTGTCTGATTTTAGAATCAGTTCTGATCATCTTTGGGTGTATAGTATGTATTATAGTATATAATGATGATTCTCTTTTAAGACCTGACATTGGAGATTCACTTTTGAAGACTTTTTAACTACTGCTGCTGCACTACATGATTGCCAGCTTGTGATGAAATTGTTTTTGTTTTTGGGCCACACCTGGTAGTTCTAAGGAGTTAGTCCTTGCTCTGCATTCAGGAATCACTCCTGGTGGGCTCCAGGGTCCTGTGAGAGGCTGGGTCAACCACGTGGAAGGCAAGTGTATGCGGAAGGCTGCTGTACTGTTGCTCTGGCCCCTGAAATTCTTTTTGATAATCTTCATGACCATCTTCGTGGAACCATGTAGAAGCCTACCTTTTGGACTTGGGGAGATAGCTCAGAAGGTTGAAATGCATTTCTTTCATCCATGAGACTGTGATGTCAATGCCTAGCACCATAGGGCTCCTAGCATCGTTGGGCACTGAAATGTACAGCCCATTGGGCAGAGTATTGCTGGGAGCTCCCCTCTGGCCCCCTCACCCCCAAGATAAACCCATCTTTCTATTTTTTAATCAATTTTTAAAAAATAAGGTAGTGCAATTTTAATAGTCATGTCTTAGGCTTATAATGTTAATGTACCATACCCACAAGCAGAGTGCCAATATCCCTCAATCATGGTCTCCAGGGTCTCTTTTCCCCCACTTCTCTGGGCCTCAGCTCTCTTGGCAGTATCTTGTGGGGGTGTTTTTTGTTTGTTCATTCTGGGGCCCCACCTGTAAGTCCTTGAGGCTTTCACTTGGCTCTGCACTCAGTGGTTACTCCTGGAGGGGCCTGGGAACCATATGGGTGCTGGAGGCCAAACCTGGGTTCGCTGTGAGCAAGGCAGACATCCTACCTGCTGTTCAGTATCTTTGTTTTCATTCTCTTTGTTTACCCCCCTCCCCCATTTTGTTTCCTTTATATTTTACATATATAATGAGATCATCCAGTATTTCTTTTTCTTTCTGACCCACTTGGCTTAGCATGACTTTTTCCAGTTCCACCCAGGTTGTAATGAAATACAAGGTTTCATTTTTTTCTTATAGCCCAGTAGTATTACGTGGTGTTTATATACCTACCTGCCTGCCTTCCTTTCTGTTTTTGGGCCACACCTGATAGTGCGCTGGGCTCAGGGATCACTTCTGGCAGGCTCTGGAGACCATGTGTGGTGCCAGGGATCAAACCTGGGCTGGCTGCGTGCAAGGTAGAGTGCCTTACCCTCTACTATTGCTTTGGCCCCTTAGTTCTCGCAGCCATAGCAAGGAGGCCAAGGCCAAGGCACAGGGAGCGGATCAGTGTGGAGAGTCATCCATGGACGCGTGATTCTATCCCCGCAGGCTCTGAAGGAAAGTCTAGGTCCTGGCTCTGTCTACCACCAGCAGGTCCTCAGCAGATGCTCTGGCCTCACCATCCGCCCTGCCTCCCAAATCCCCAATGCCGGGAGAGGGTGTAAGACTGGCAGCTGCTGGGAGTACGACGGGGCTTCTTAGGGAGGGTACTTGAAGACCCTTCTGGATGTACCACCATGGGACTGAGCACACTTCCAGTGGGGATGTGAAGAGGTGAAGATGAGGGTTTCACACCCTTACCCACACCCACTCCCTACCTCCTGGACTCCCCAAACTCACCTGAATGGTGTTCCCCTCAGGGCTGAGGAGGTATCTGTCCAGTAAGATTTTTTACCTGGAGCTGACTGCTTGGGGGTATTCATTCCTAGTCATCTGTTTTATGAAGTAAATTTTAACTTCCCTAAACTGCTAAAATTCTAACTTATTGCCCCTGGAGACATAGTACAAGCAGATCAGATGCTGACCCAGGTTCGATCCATGGCCCCATGAGTATTTCTTGAGCTCAAAGCTGGGAGTAAGCTCTGATCACTTATAAGTATGGCCCCAGAACAATAAATTCATGCCCAAATAACAAATAACACTGTAGTCCTCTATTTTGGGGAGAGGGAGTGTTGGTTTATACCTGGAGATGCTGGGATTACTCCCTTCATGATGTTCAGCTTGGAGCTCTTTTGGACATTGCATGACTTGGATATGCTTCAAATGTTCTAATCTTCTGAGTCCCCATATCTGGGAGGGGGTGGCATTCATCAGTGCTCAGGGCCTCCTGGCTCAGTGCTCAAAGCTCTCCTTGTAGTGCTGAGGAACATGTGGTGTTTTTGATGGAACCTTAAGGGACTTTTTGTATTCATGCAGAGCATATACTCCAGCCCTTTGAGTTATCTCTCCTGCTATTAGTGTACTACTGGTATTCCTTTGTGTGTGTGTGTGTGTGTGTGTGTGTGTGTGTGTGTGTGTTTGGGGGCGGGGGGAGTTATTGGTCCACAACTGGTGAGGCTCTGCACTTGGGAATTCTTCCTGGAAGTGCTCAGTGTACCATATGGTATTCTAGGGATTGCCTTGCTTGCAAGGCAAGTGCCCTATCTACTGTACTATCTCTCCAGTCTCCCTTTTAGTATTTTTTAAGTTGAATCACTGTGAGATAACGTTACAAAGCTTTCATGATTGAGTTTCAGTCATGCAATGATCAAACACCCATTCTTCCACCAGTGAGCATTTTCCACCACCAATGTCCCCAATATCCCTCCTGCCAGCCCCCTCCCCCACTGCCTTCTTTCTTTCTACTTTTGGGCGGCAGGGTTTGCAATAGATACTGAGAGGCCATCATATTTGGTTCTTTGTCTACTTTCAGCATACATC